ATCTTTAACTCAATAAACTACGGAGATAAAAGAGGAAAAATAAAATAAAATAAGTTAAGCTACTGAGACAGATCACACTCATCTGCCTCAATGCAAGCAAAACGCTTCAGGGAAGCCCTTTGCTTTTCCAATCCATTTACCAAAAAAGTAGAAACACTAAAGGACCGGGACAGAGACCGAGCACACACAACTTTTCCTACAATTACAGTATTACCAAAAGAGATAAAGACTCCCAGCATGTGTCGTTGTCTGGAACTTTAAAACAAGTAATTTCACTGGCACTATTTTATCAGATCACTTAAGGAGCTCAGGTCCAGAGTGAGTGAGGAATAAAACACTCAAACAGAAGAAATATGGCAGTTCCCAGCCCATCAAATGGAACACACTCCCCAGCCCAGTAAATCACACCAAATGAATTTTCTGGCCTTTTACATGAACTAAACACCTGAAAAACCAGTAAAAATACCATTCTGGAAATACACAGCTTCCCTAATAACTTTTCTTGTTCTCAACCCAACTCTCAACCATTAAGAGAGCCTTTTTCTTTCCAAAAAGCAGAGCACTCAGGCACTGTCTGTGCCATAAAGGTGCTGCCAAAGAAACAGAACCATTCAGGATGAAGAAAGTAGCAGGAAGCCAAGACTTTGATCTCTAATCCCAACTTAACCACGACTGTTTGATCTTAGAAACAATATTTAGCCTCTAATGCATTAGCACTATAGAGATTAATACAATGCTTTAAATATTACACAATCTTCACAAGCGCAATGCAAGTAAAGCTCAGCAATTATGGCATGGAGTTCATTCACCAATTAACCAGCTCCAAGGTAGGTTTGAACAGTCAAATTACGCTCCATTAGTAAACCCCATAAGAGAGCTGCTGCTTAAGATTATTTTCCTACCTTCTAATGTCTCCTGCCTCAAATTCAACCCCCTTTTGCTTCAAATGCAAATCACCATTAATCGAGCAAAAACTGTTACCTAGCAAAAATATGAATATTTCCTGGGTTTATTTATACCATAGCCACCATGCAAATCAGTTTAACAGGCAGCCCACAAAAAAAAAGGGCTCAGGGGCTGCAGCCCATGCTCGGTGAAATGCAAGCTCTGAAAGCCTCTCTAGGAACAGGCTCCAAACCAGAATCCTTTCAGAAAGGAGCACTTTGGAACACAGTCTTTAAAAACACAGGTATACACTACCTCACTCTACTCTTTTTATATGATGACAAACTTATGTGAACATCCATTAAAACCCTGATGGCAAAATTTAAGTCACTCAAAACTGTAATAAGTGCACAAGTACTTCTAACTAGAAGGAAGTTAATTCATCTGCAAAACACATAGAGCGTGCTTTATTCTATATTTTTTATTATTTTCAAAAATGCTTAAGCTGAGCAGCTCTGACCACTACTTCTTCCAATCAAGGAGCATCCTTCCCATCCTTCTACTACAAAAGGAAAGCAGAAAACAATGATTTTTCTCTGATTTCTGTCGTTCAAAAAGTTGGACAGCCTGAAATGCAGAAGAGTTCCGCCCCTGAAGAAGTGGACTCTGCACTCGGTGGAAAAATCACTGGTAAAAAGTATTTGGCATCAATGTGGGGGTCTGCTTTTTCTTTCTAAAAGGATTCTAAAAACACACAGTGCTTAAATAACTGTGTTGATAATACTTCAAACAAGTAACCTCTCAAAACCAAACCTCTAAAATGTACTGCTTTGGGGGTTGGTTTGGGTGGGTTTTCTTGCTTTGTACTGTTGTTGTTTTGGGCTGGGTTTTGGGTGTGGGTTGATTTTTGGTTTTTTTATTAGTTTTCATTGTGTCAAACCACTCTTCACTGAAGATGTGTGGTAAACAGCTCCTCTCAACACTCCCTCTGCAAGCTGAGCTGCTGTCCCAGTCAACCTCAGACTCAACTTCTGTCCTTCCCGTTCACAGAGAACTACCCAGCCAAAGCAAGGGAGGACTTTAAACACTTCCCCACACACCAGACATCAGCAGGTACTGGAACAACATCATCACGTTCACACTAACAAAACAAGCACACCTTTTCTCGATGCTTTATGGACTCAAAAGGAAGGTTTCAAGCAGCTGTTTCCCCTGGTTACTCACACTTAGAAGGGTCCGGGCTTACAGGTATCACCACAATTATCAGTAACACTTCTAGTTTCAAACTGAAAGTTTCACCCCTTTAGAGGAACATTTTTTATGAGGGAAGTAAGTTTACCTTTAACCCCTGCAGCAAAAAGCTGCATTTAAAAACCTTACCTGCTACTTGTAGAGAAGCAGTGTCCACACACTGTCCTCACTGACACTCCCAAGCACAAAACTCCCCCAAATCTTCCATCTACTGCAGCCTGACTGTTTTTAAGTGGGCTGTGTGACTCAGACTAGATCCATTTTAAAATGTAATTGTCACATTTCTGGTATCGTCCAAACAAGCAGTCAGTGGCTCCAAGGTCAAAATTAAAAGTTAGATCAACAGCAGTGAAACAGCCAATACGTCACTCGTTTCCCCTGCTGTCACCTCCAACACAAAGGAAACATCTGAGATCATATCTGACCCTGCTCCCTATCAGATGAAGTGCTACCCAACGTTTACAACTCGTGACTTCTACTCACAGTCTAAATCTCAAGAGTTACACAGTAGGGGTACGCACAAGTCCGTTATTCTAATTAATTTCTCCGAGCAGCCCTCTGGGAAGGCCTTTTTGCATCAGGATCCAGCCCATCCCACCAGTGTTCCAGCAGAACTGCTGAGGGTAAGGCCAGGTGAGAGCGCTCCTTGCAGACTGACACACAAATAAGGACAGGGCTGCAGAGTGGCACCTTCATGGAGGAAACTCAGTCCAAAAGAAGCCTGAGATGTCCTGTGGGTGCCTGGGATGTCAGCCAGGAGAAGATCCACCTTCAGCACTGGCCATCAGGCACCACTACAGCCAGACAGGAGCAACAGCCAGCAAACTACGGACATCAGGCAGGCTTGGGAAGAGGAAAAGGAAAACCACAAGCAGACATAACATCCAAAAGAGTGGAGTTCTCAGGAGATATGCAGAGCCAGAACAGGGGTTTGTACATGGTGAAAATAAAGCAAAGCTTCACCTTCTGCACCTCCCTGCACCCACCCCTCTCTGTGCTCTCACTCAGAGAAGGGACACAACTATTCCAGCAGAAAGCTGATCAACTGGACCACAAAGAGGTTCACCTTGCTAAAATGGCAGAAAACCAACAAGCACGGGAAGCATGAAAAGAGAAGGGAGGGGCTATGCAACTGGGAAGAAAGGAACAAGAGCCTGCCTTTTTGGCAGGCTGGCAGCTTGGGAGCAACCGCCTGCGAGAGCAGCTCCAAAGATCCTCTCGGACAGGATGCCTCCCTAAAAGGGGGCCAAAAGGTCCCAGACAGGTGGAAGGAACAGCAAAGGACAAGTTATTCATAAAGCACGTTATCAGAGCATTTCGTAACTCTGAGAGATGCTGCAGCAGGACTCGTTTAAAGCATCTACAAATGTCTTAATAAACTGTCCAGAATTAAAGCTCTAAGTGAGATAAAAATCTAAATTAGCCTTGGATTGTAAGCCAGAAGTAATCACTGACACTTACTGGTTCAGGATTCCCCTCGACGAGAGTAACCATTGTCACTGCCATCTGCTGTCTCCATAATGAGGGATGAGAAACTAGCCCAGGCTTTTCCTAATCGCGTTCCCACTTGGGTAAAAACACCATTAAAACTGACCCAGCCTGACATTCCTGGACTTCTCAGCAGAGAAGCCAAGAACTACACGGACCTCAACACCAGAACAGCTCACCAAAAGCACTTCCCCCAAAGGCTGCTTCAAACGGAGCAAGAACCCAGGAATGAATGAAAAGATGGAGCTGGAAGACTCTGAGCTGGCAACTCAGTTTTCCTGAGCTGGACTTAAACCGCTCACGACAGATGTTCGGGAACAACGCATAAACCCCCCCGTAAACTAAGCCAGGTCTGAAGACCGTATATCGAGTTTCATCCACGCACAGGCGAGGACTGGAAACCAGCCGCCTCTGCAGCGGAGCTCCACGAGAAGGCAGGAACCCGAACGTGAAGAAAACCACCTCCTCAGGTCACTGCTGGTACCAGCACGGCGCCTTTCCCTCAGCGTTAGGCGGGCAGGGCTCTGGGAGCGAACAACCCCGGGGGCTGCGGAGGCAGAGCACAAAGCCAGCGCCGGGAGCTCTCGCTGCCCGCCGGGCGCTGCCGGAGCCCCGAGGCGCGGGCGAGGAGGGGCCGCTCTCCGCAGCCCTCACCGCCACCCCGCCAGCGGCTCGCCCGGAGCGCAAACCCACGAGGGGAGCGAGCGCGGCGGGGCCGCGGACCCCGCTCTTTGTTCGCCGCCGCGGGCAGGCCCGGCCCGGCCCCGGGCCCGGCGCCTCACCTCGCGAACGTCCTGCAGGCACTCGAGCACGGCGAGGTTGTTGGCCCAGCTGTGCTTGGAGCAGAGCCGCACCACGTCCTCCCGGCACACCGCCTCCTCCGACAGCTTCCACCCGCTGCCCGCCCCGCCGCCGCGGGCGCTCCGCGGGACGGCCGCGCCCGGCCCCGCCGGCTGCGCCGCTGCGGGCAGGGCCCCGCCGACGCCGGGAGGGCCCACGGGAGGGCCGGGCGCCGCCGGCCGCGCCGCCAGCGCCAGCAGCAGGAGCAGCGCCGGGCCCGGGCAGCGGCTCCGGACACGTCCGCACGGCGCCATCTTGGATCCGCCACCCCCGGCGTCCGCCCGCCCGCCCCGCGGCACGCACGGCGTATGCAAATCGGCGCGTGACGGCCCCGGGACACGCCCCTCTCCCGGCGGCGGGGGAGGGGGCGTGGCTTGCTCGGGCGCCGCCCTCCCCCGGCACGCGGCCCGACCGTTGTCGCCTCAGGAGGAGGAGGAGGCAGCGCGCGCTCAACGGCACCGACCGCCCCGCCGCCCCTCACGGGTCCCCGCAGCCCCGCAGGGGCCCCCTCAGCCCCTCACGGGTCCCCTCAGCCCCTCAGGTGCCGGGGCGGGCCGCGAGGAGCCGAGCTCACCCCCCAGGAAGGCGGCGGGCGGGCCGTGGGCCTCACCCTGCCGGTGCCCGGTAGCTGTGACCGGATCTCCCCCGAAATCTCTCGCTTCTCACTCGGCTGCCCCACTGACAGAGAAGTAAGAGAGATCATGGGGAAACTGGGCTTTGAGAAGGGTTGGGTTAAAGGAGAGTGGCAAGAGCAGAAGGATGAGGGAAAACTGCACATGAATGAAGAAGAAATACAGAGGTACATAGAGAAATTACAGGGTTACATAGAAAAACTGCAGAAGAATGAAGAAGAAATGCGGGAGAACAAAGAAAAAATGAAGAAGAATGAAGAAAAGATACAGGAGATCGATGAGAAAATACAGGAGATCAAAGAAAAAATACAGGAGAACGAAGTAAAAATACAGGAGGACAAAGAAAAAATACAGCAGATCAAAGAAAAGATACGGAAGAATGAAATGAAAATACGGATGAACAAAGAAAAAATCCAGGAAAAGAAAGAAAGAATGCTGAAGAATGTGGGAAAAATACAGAAGAATGAAGTAAAAACAGAGAACGAATTAAAAATAGAGGAGTTCATGGAATCAATACAGGCAATCAAAGAAAAAATAAGGAAGAACAAAGAAATACTGAAGAATGAAGAAGAAATGCCAGTCAAAGAAGGAATTAAGAACAAGGGAAAAGTACAGGAGTTGGACAAAAAAATACAGGAGCTTGACGAAAAAATACAGGAGCTTGACGAAAAAATGCAGGAGGACAAGGAAAAAATAAAGCAGATCAAAGACAAGATACGGACCAATGACATAAAAATACAGACAGACAAAGAAAAAATACAGGAAAAGAAAGAAAGAAGATTGAAGAATGCGGGAAAAATACAGATGGATGAAGTAAAAACAGAGAACAAAATACAGGAGTTCAAAGAAAAAATACAGGCAATCAAAGAAAAAATAAGGAGGAACAAAGAAGAAATGCAGATCAAAGGAAAAATACAGGAGCTCGATGAAGATATACAGGAGAATGAAATAATGGAGGAGGACGAAGAAATACAGCAGATCAAAGAAAAGATGCAGAAGAATGAAATAGTAATGCAGATGATCAAAGAAAAAATACAGGAAAATGAAGAAAGTGGAAGAATGAAGAAAGTGGGAAAGTGGCTGAAGAATGTGGAAAAAATACAGAAGAATGAAGCAAAACCAGAGACTGAAATAAAAATGCAGGAGAACAAAGAAAAAATACAGCAGATCAAAGAAAAGTTGAGGAAGAATGAAATAAAATTAGAGATGATCAAAGAAAAAATACAGGAAGAGGAAGAAAGAAGGCTGAAGAATGTGGAAAACATAGAGAAGAATGAAGAAGAAATGCAGATCAAAGAAAAAATTAGGAAGAATAAAGAAAAAATCCAGAAGCTCAACAGAAAAATACAGGAGCTTGACGAAAAAATACAGAAGAACACAGAGAACGAAGTAAAAATACAGGAGATCAAAGAAAAAATAAAGACAGTCAAAGAAAAAATAAAGAAGAGCAAAGAAAAAATACCACCAAAGAACGAAACCAAAATACCGGAGAGCAAAATAAAAAAAGAGAACGAAATGGAAATTCGTAAGAACGAGGAAAAAATACAGGAGATCAAAGAAAAAATACGGAAGAACAAATTAAAAATACAGGAAAACAAAGAGAAAATACCAAAGAATGAGGAGAAAGCAGAGAACAAAATAAAAATATGTAGGCGAGAAGAAAAAATACGGGAGATTGAGGAAAAAATACAGAGGATCAGAGACAAAATGCAGAAGATTGAAGAAAAAGTACAGAAGAACAAAGAAAAAATACAGGTAAGCAAAAAAATACCAAGGAATAAGGAAAAAATAAAGAAAAATATGGAAGAATGAGAGAAAACTACAGAAGAATGAAGAAATTATATCAACCAGCTGCTGAAAACACCTCAAAACCGTTAATAAAATGCTGACAGTCAGCTTTGCCACTGTCATTTCTCCGTGCTGAGTGCCAGACCGAGGTGGATGGCTGATGTCACGTGTGGGTGTACCCACGGCCCCTCCTGGGGCAGGCTGGGCTGGCAGGAGGGGTGGTATGAACCCACCAGCAGCCTGGCCCAGCCCTCAGGTACCTGCAAGGAGCAGGCAGATGAACAAGATCTGGGAGATCATATTCTGGGGGTGCCAGGAGATGGTTCCCATTCAGGGTTGGTGGGTTGGCTGCACCTCCTGCCCTGTCAGTGCCGGTCACTGCGTTCTGGGGGCTGGGATTTGCCAGGTCATGCTCGATCACGGCCCCCAGGCTTTCCTCATGGGGCTGGAAGAGTGATCTTGTCCCCAAAGCAGGATCTGCAATGGCTGATCCCGTTGTAAATGGGACCCATAGCTTCCTCCTAGAGCATTAAGGGGGGGTTGGATGCTGAATTTTTATGATAGATCATCTGAAAGTGGTGCCTGCAACCACACAGACCCCTTGGAGCAGCGTTCTGGGGATGCCTCAGCCCATCTGCCCCAGCAGCCAGACCCAAAACTGCACGGTAAGAAAGTCCCAGTCCAGGTGTTGGGTCAGTGGCAGCAGTGGGACACAGCTCCACCTCCAGCTCAGCAACCCCAGCTTTTTGGGTGTTCCCCCAGGATCTCACCAGGTCAGCTCACAGCATCCTCCTAGGATGGGTTTGCCCCTAAATGTCAGATTTGCCCCTAAATGTCAGGAGCTACCAGAGCACCCTGAGCCCAGCACAGCCCCCAACCTGCAGCCACCTCGTCCAGGTGAAGGCGAGAGGGAGAGGGGGCTCAGCTGGCAAAGCCCCTGCACTTCCTGCATTCCAGTGTCACGCTGGGACACAGCGCTCGGAAAGTGGCTTTGTGCTGGCACCCAGGGGCCACGCAGCTGGGAACACTTGAAAACAAAAGCCAGCAAAATCCAGCCCGTGCTTGGCAGCCAATTTGGCTTAGTGGGAGTTGTTTGAAGTTAGCCCAGTGCGAGAGCTGGCTCTGCTCCTCCATCCGTTGCAGGATGAGGACAGAGGGGAGCAATGGAGCTGGGTTACAGCTCTCTTCTCCTTCCCACACCCTTGGGAGCTCTCCAGAGAGCCATTTTTTGCACAAGGAAAACCTCCTGCCAGGCTTGGATTTTACCATTCTGCACAGTCCACCATCAAACAAGCATTTCATAAAAGAGCAGCAAGTTAAACGAGGAGGAGGTTTGTCTGTGGGCTCAGGGACATCTCTGCCCATGCTGCTACTGCAGCCCCTCTCCCTCAGCAGAAATTCCCTCATTGCCACATGTTAAACATTTTCCCACCAAGGCTCTCAGCCTCTGGGTGCTGCATTAAGTGCTTGCAGTCCCTTGCTCCTGTAGTGGGCAGCACATTTAAGTCTCACCTCTTCAAGCAATAAACACCATTTAAATGTCCCCCAGCTCAGCAGAGCAAGGCCGGGGTGAGCTGAGCTGCTGGGACACCTCTCACTCCTTCCCAGCAGTGCTTTTGTTCTCCACAGCTTTGGGGAGAACAAAAGTCCTTCCTCAGTCCATCCAGAGGAGCTGCTCCAGTTTTTAATTGGATGCGGTCTGCTTGCTCCCCTGTGGCCACAGGCACTGCTCCCAGTCCCAGCTCTGCCTGCACACAGCGTGCTCAGGCCCTCTCCCTTGCATGCACAGCCTGACTCAGCTGCCTCCTTCCAAAGCTGGGCATCCCCCAAAACCTCAGCTCTTTCCCAACAGATGATCCTCTCCAAATGCTGCTGCAGAGAACCAAGTGAGGTGCTTCGTTACTGCTGCCACTCAGCTCTTTTCCTTGCTGGCTGAGGCAGGAACACTCACCTGGTATTTCGTGGTTTATTTGCATGACGTGCTCAGGGTTCAGCCCCACTTGTTTCTGCTTTTCTTGTAGGTCAGAGTCTACTCATCCATGTTTGGAGATAAGCAGAAGACCACAGAAATACCCACCTTCCAAGGAAGCTGTGAACAAAGAGGAGACAATATTGCCATTGCAACCCTGTGAGTGTTGAGCAAAAAGGGGAGCTTCATGCCTCTCCTGCACAACTCTTCAGCCCAGTTGACCTTTTTTCCCCAAAGACCGATGCTGTTGACTCATCTTTGCCTGACAAACCCTCAGAAGCCCCAGGTCATTACTGCAGACACTGCTGCCCTCCACATTAGGTGTTGCAGTTAGCACCTACCTTTAGAAAAAGGAAAAAAAAATAAAAAAAAAGAGGGTAATTGTCCAGCCCTTTCTCCTAGGTGCCACAATTCTTTCCCAATCCTGCTTTTGCCTTCCTGAGCACTCAGTGCTGATGCCAGCTTGATGCCGGAAGCACTGGGGGCTCTCTCCCCCTTCCACGACCTCTGCTGCCAGCAGAAGCACCAAATTGGACTTGATGCAAGACGAAAACCCCTGGACCCTCAAATTAATTCTGCTTCACAGGGTGGGATAATCACTGAAATGAGTTCGAGGCATTTTTTTCTCCTGACCAGCACGGGCTGGAGAGAATCTGTTACCTGCAAAGTTTGTCCCAAGGATTAGATAAACCTCTCTTTTTCTTGCAACTTGGAGGCACTATTTTGCAAGAGACAGCAGAGGAGCAGCATCCCACGTGCCATTGGTGCTTTCAGGACGCTGCTGTGGCTCCCAGAGTTTTATCAGTGAACTCCCTGCACTGGAGCATCAGTTTCCCACCAGCCCAGAGCACCCCCAGCTCCAGCTGCCGTCCAGAGGGGAGCGAAGAGAAACCCCACCTAGCAAAGAGAAATAACGTGAGCAGGAGGTGCTTCTGCCTCCTAAGCAGTATCTGCAAGTATCTTTAACTGTTGCAAAAACAAGTAAACAATGATATTGTTATCTGGAGGGAGGCTGTTGACACCAACATGCTCTACTTTGCAGGCTGAGTGCTGGCAGGGGCCAACAGCAAGCTCAGCAGAGGGACAGTCCTGCTAAGGCACTGTGACCCCCTCTGCTCAACTTTGCAGGAGACTCTGCAAGGGTCAGGGATGAAGCTGGACTCAAACAGTGTCAGAGCACTCCAGCTGATTCATATTGCAGATAGAAAAAGCTTTCACCGAAGACTTGCTAATGGAAAGTCAAAAGTGCCACCCCAGCAAGGGAAACTGTGCCACCTCTCCCTATGTCTCTTGGCAGTGAAATTTGTTCTTTCCCATTTACTAGTTCTGGCATTCAATGCTAATCAAACCCAACAGAAAACAAGTTTTTGCTTGCTCCTTCCTTTCTTTCTTTCTTCTTCCTCCCCCCTGAACTATTTTTTCCCCATATTCTCTCTCCTTCACAAACCAGCAGAAAGCTGGGTCTGTTAAGGAATTTTACTGCAAATCTACATAAGCAGAAAATCTTGTCACATCTCCTCACAAACTGAAAAGGAGAACTAAATGAAATCCCACTGGGATGCTCTGGCTACCTCAGTGTAACGAGGTTCAGCTTAAGCTGCTTGTTTCACTTGCTGCATTGCTTGGTTTTAATCCAATTTGGTTCGGGACACATTAAACAGACGCTTTTCCGCCCTCCAGGAAGCAGCAGGTGCAGCCAGAGCCGAGCAAAGCGCTGGCTGGTCCTGCCCCACGTGCACACACACCGAGCTGTGCTCACTTCTTGGCTCGTGCTTTAGCACTGCCTTTTGTCATCTGCAACGTTTTTGATTGTGTTTGTCAAAACATCACCTGAGTCGGTGCCAACCAAGAGCTGAAGTGCGATGGTGCTACGGCAGCAAAGCCCCCGTGAGAGGCCGGGGTTGCTCGTCCCCTCTTGGCCACCCCATGGATTTCCACAGCCCTGTTAGAGGGAGACACAGAGGACAGCCCTTCTCTGAGAGCACAGCTCTGAGTCCAGCTTCCCTTCCCCAGCAGCAGCCCCTCTGGCACCACACCTCCACAGGGAGCAGCAGGGGCTGGATTGTTTCCCTCCAAGCAGCTCCACAGCCAGCTCTGTCCAGCACTGTGCTGTCCCCCAGGCCTCCTTCGACAGGAATTACAGTTAAAAAGGTGCTGCCCTGCAACAGCCTGGAGAGAAGAACGTTAAGAGCACAGCTCAGAGCAAGCCGTGGCTGCAGCAGCCACAGCACTGCCCGGCTTTACCTCTCACCTCCCACCACTCTGCAGGAACTGCCAGGGGGCCGCCCTGCTCACGATAACAAAATCTTCCCAGAGACAGAGGCAGAAATAGCCACAGAGTGGCTCCACGCCTGAAACACCAGCAAACAGCTCAGCCTCTCGTGACAGCTGCCCTGCACAGTGAAGAGACACTGATTTGTTCCTTCCTTCCATCCCAGAATCTGCCCCTTTGACTCCAGACAGAGATGAGCAAATATTTAATTAACACGTTTGACCTTTTATCAGCGCTCCATGCTGATGGCTTTCTGCACACCAGTTAGGTGTGCTTTCCTGCAGCCTGCTGCAAACCTGGAAACAGAACAGCATTACAAGGTTTCCTCGCATATCTTTGAACATTTTCTGAAATTTTGGATTTGAAAACTGAGAACATGAAAGAGTCATCTTCCATTATTGTTTTAATAGCGTTTAAGTTTGTATCTCTTATTCCTGTTGAGTTATATAAAAGTGAAAACAAGTGTTACCTACAAAGTCAAAAGTCAAAGGATTCAAATAAAAACGTTTTTTCCTCTGTGTGTTCCAAATCTTCAAGATTTCTTGTGGTAAGACAGGGTTGGAGTTGACTGAACATAAATGATGCCTCAAAATAGCTGAGAACAGAGAGCAGAGAGCATCCTGCTCCTTCTGGTTTAGCTAGCGTTACCAGAGACCTCACAGTGTCATTCTACCAGCCCTCATTTTCCTGTTAAAATGCCAAAAATCCTCATGTCAGTGAGTTAATTTTCAGTTTAAAGGATATCCCAGGTGTATGGCCTGGCCCTTTCCCTTCCCCTCACCTGGCCAGAGCAGGATGGTTCAGCGAGGATTCCTCATTCAATAAACACATCCGTTATCTCAGTCTGAAGCTCAGTGTGACTTGGAGGTGACACCAAGCAGGAGAAACCTCACCTGCATAAGGGAAGGCTTGGTTATGTT